TAGACATAGGCAGCAAGGGGAATGGTGTAGAAGAACAAGCAGTCCGCTCGACTTAATGCCAATTATTTCAGAGCCAGCTCCCTCAGAAAACCACATTCAACCTGCCACATCACAGAAGGTAGGGTCACCATGTCCTTCCCAGCCTGAGCTCACAACTGCTTAAACTTCTCAGGACGGGGCTGACTAGCCTGGGCCCTCTCTGTGACTCTCTTGTGGTCATCTCCCACCGAGTCACTGTGGCAGGGGGACCCCAGAAACCCTGAAGTATAGTTGTTCTGTGGCTTCTGATTCCTTGAAAGCTTAGTACTAAACAGTTAACTCCTTCCCAAAGTGGCTCATGATTAACCTTGCTCAAATACGGATTTCTTCTCCAGTTCTACCATGCTTTGCAGGAGTCTCTTTGAGAGTAAAGTCCTATATAGTATTTTCAGTTTGCAATAACCAGGGGCTTTCCTTAGGGCCAGCGCTGCCAGTGCATTGTTTCACCCTGTGCCTGCCTATAATCTCCAGACTTACATTATATCTGGGGAGACGAGTTCCCCTCCCAGGGGGCAAGGATTAGTGTTTCAGATGCTTCATTCTTTCCTCTTCATTGTATTCAGTTTCTCAAGTTTCTCTGTGACTTTCAGTTTTGTGGTTGGCTCTTTCTTATTTCTTGGGGCTCTTCTTCCTTCTCTCTTTGCTACATTATTGTTTCGAGGTGTCTCAATTCAAGGTATTGCAGAGGTTGTGATATGCTGCCAGCTTTTACTACATACTTCATACTCTATAGAACCTAGTAAATATCTGACATCCGCTTAGGCTGGTTAAAAAATAATAATTTTTCATAAGTATTCATAATTTATTATAACTTGCTACATTAAAATCATAAATTCTAGGCACTCGGTGCCTGTTATTTGCCACAAACTGTGCTGGCAACATTACCAGATTGTCTGTAATGTTCATGATGACCTGGTAACATAGCTAGACTTTTATAGTTGCTGAAACAGAGTCTCCATAAAGTCAATCCATTTGTACAAATAAATGATGGGCCAAGATTTGAACCAAATTGCATGAGGTACAAAACATCTTCCCATTACTCTCCTGCTTTGGCAAGGTTTGCCATAAGCCCATTTTGTTTTTTAGTTAATGCCATTGTGTGATGAGCTTTAAAAATTAATCTCAAACTTATAGAAAGCAGCAAGTGCACTGAAACACTTTTTCCTCTGCCATCAAGAGTAAATTTGGAACCATTACTCTGAAAACTTAGAGTAGTACCTACCAAAAATTCAGAATACCCAATACAAGCATAAGATTGGTGAATTCACTTCATGCATTTCAACAATCTATTCCTAAGCCTTTGTTTAAGTTCCACCAGTTGCACTCAAATCACTCTGCATAACAAAAGAATCCAGTCCAGAATCGTGTAAGGTAGTTGTTGTGTCTGCTTTCATTCCCAACAATCTAGACCAGTTCCTTTTCCTTTCTTGGTTTTTCACCTTGATGTTTTCAAAGGTAGTAATCTGTGTTCTGTAGCATATAGAATGTTCCTCCAATGTGGGTTCGTCCACTGGTTTCCTTATTATTAGATTCAGCTTATATATTTCAACAGGACTATCAGAGATAACTCTGTTCCCACTACATCCTATCAAATGGCAATTCTTTTTATGCCATTACAGTACCAGTGGTACCTCTGACCACTTGGATAAGGTGATATCTGCCCATTACAAAATTACTCCTTTTTTCTTTTGCAATTCCTAAAAACTTTTATGGAGAAGTATTCTGAGAAAATGTAAATATCTGTTCCTTTAATTATTTCTACATTTATATCCCTTGTCAGTTTCTGTTTTCTTCCCTGGGTTTATCATTGTTGCTATCATCACATTTGATGGCTTTTCAAATAATTAGTGAAGAGATTTTATGATCAGATTTGTCAACTTACAAAAGTGATGAATAAGCCAGAGAATGGCAGAAACATCATGGCTGGATAAAACTGAGCAGCATATCTTAATATTAAACCAGAAGCCCGGCACATATGAATAAGTGACACCTACCTGAAGTCAAGTTTGTGAGTTATCCTCATGATTAATAATAAAACAAGTCCTTCTGTTTCAAATTGAAGTGGCCTTGAGCAAGCCAATCCACGGGGTCTGTGTGGACATGAGGGGAAAGAGATGGGCCTGCTTTCATAAGGTGGCTATGGACATGGGACGAGCAACAACTTAGCCTTTGGTAGAATAAGGAAATACCCACTTTCTGAGGATTGAGACCCCAAAATACATGACACTGAGAGTTCTGAGTACAAAAGAGAATGCTGCAGAGTTGGTGAGATCTTCCCACTTTTCTCTGGAAAAATAAATTTACAGCAGTGAATCCTAGTCTCATGAGTGTATTCTCACTCCCTGCCAGCTGGAAGAGATTACATTGGCATCAGCCAAATTCTGGACTTTGCCCCAGGAATGAACATGCAGATGTTCCGAGTGATGATCCTTGAAGATCAGGGACATCCCACCGTGGAGGGCCCAGAGAGGTTTGAATTACTTGTCCAGGTGCCTCGAGGTGCAGTGCTTGGAGAATCAAGTAGAATGACTGGACCGTGATTATCAAGGAGAGTACCACTGACTTGAAAGGAGAGTGCTTTCAGTTCCTTGGAGTGAAAGATTTAAGAGAGAAAAGAGCAGCCAAAATGTGGCTCCTAACTCTACCATTTCTGGAGCTCAGCAACTCTAGGAAGGTAATGAAAGTGTTACATTCTGCTGATATGTGCCAACATCATCAGTGACTGCATGGATATAGAGATTCACATGTGTGCAATGACAAGGACTGAGCCTATAAAAAATGAAACCATGCTCCTATCATCCTTTTTCTATTTTCTTTTGCTTTGTTTCTAAGACCAGTGAAACCTGCTGTCATCAATTCAACCAATCACTGAAAATAAAAGTAATGGCTTTCTCTTCACTGATTCACGCTAGACACAAAGCTCCTTACTGCAAACATGAGCACACAGACAGGCACTGATTCTGTTTTGGTTTTTTGGGTCATTTAGTGAGACTTCCCTTACCTAAATTTGCAGAAATCCCATGCTCCATTTTGCAAATTTTTCAATTTCCTTCAACAAGCTTTTTGTCCCTTTTTTGTTGCTGCATCCTTTTGTAAAAAGCATAATAAACACTAAAGGGATAAAATGCAAGTCGCAGAAAGAAAAGTTGAAGATGTTCATAGTTCCCAATGTGCTCAGTTAGTTCTTATTTTTAACACACAATGTTTGTACCTATTCATATTACATAAATATCACTAATATCACATAAATCAAAGCTTATCAATTATGCAACACTTCTCTGGGGCCCATCATTTTCTTTAAGCTATGTCTTGTGCATGACTTTTTAAAAATCTGTGTTTCAGGTATGACTTAACATATTCTCAAACCAACATGGTCCTTAACAGGAAATCAATACAAGAATTCTCGCTCAAAAATACTAAGGATGGGATAAGAAGACTCTTGACTGTGAGGTGACCTGCATAGTTAGGTTGGGAAGTCCTTATCTTCTACCAGCCAGTGCTTTGCTTCACTGCTAGATTTCAGTTTTCCTGGTCAGAGAAAATATTTTTCCAAGCTACCACATAACTCTTAACCTTGCTTATCATTCCTCTGTGAAGTGAGAAAGCTGGGCTCAATTTCGAAGATCCCTTCCAGTTCTGATTCCTAAATGAGACCATATCCACATATTCATCTTGCAAGGTGCCCCACTGCCAGGGCCAAAAACACCTCTTAAGCTCAGTTAAATTCAACAAACCTTTATTGGGCTTTTTCTATGGGTCAGAAAAATGCAGATCCAAAGAAATGTGTGAAAAGAGTATACATGAGTCAGGGTAACTCTCAGCTCTACCCAACGATCTGCCTAGACACCAGGCTGTTGTGAGCCTCCTTCTGAATACATGTGTCCTCGGGACAGTCACATCTTTAGCTGCATGGGAGAAGCCACAGATTATTTTGTTTTGAATCTGGTGATCTCACTCAGTGTTTTGCAAAAAGCTACACTCTCTTTCATTGTATTTTTGCTAAAAGGGGCTATATTCAGATGAACAAGATATTTAGACATTCACCTTGTTTTTCAGAGAACATTGCCAACAGTGCTTTCTATTAAGTCAGTCTGTTCCATCCCCTCCCTGGTAATGATTGCTGAAGAAGAAAAACAATGTTTTCTAGCTTCTAGATTAAGACCTAATGTATTCTAACCATAACCCTGTAGGGTATTCTGTAGTTGGATAATGAAATTGATCCAATGGTCTGAAAAAGTAAAAACTTCCTGATTTCCTACCAAGAATAGAATGGCACACTTCAGAAAACTGGGTTCATTTGTCATTCCTCTTTTGCTGACATTTTTATAGCAAATTAAAAATGTTGGGCCGGGGGCGGGGGGGATTTAGCTCAGCAGTTCAGTGGCCTGCCTTGTAAGTGCAAGGACCCAAGTGCAATCCCCAGTACACCCCCCAAAAAATGTTAATGCTGTAGCTTTCTATGAGTTTGAAAGCATGTCAGAGATGCACACGATGTCCGGTGATGTTGCTCCTACAGAGGAAACTCTAAATGGAAAGGTGTTGGTTGTTTTATTCCTGTACTGAGGGTACTATTTAAAGTGTCCATTTTTGGGATGAATGAAAATGACAAGCAGCTAAGGGCAGACATTTACCTGAGCAAAGACACCAGCTGTAGTTCATCAGTACTCTGTTCCTCTGCTCAAAACTCACCTCACATGAGAAGCCTCCAAATCCTGATGTCTCCTTGACTGGCTGCCAGGTAAGGATTCTAAACCTTGTTTGACACTGCAGCACCAGAATGTTGCTACTCCTTATCTTATTTATAACAATGATTACCAGCAACCTAAATGCCTCATTTTCAGGAAATTTTCTCTCCCTTAATAAAAGAGTATGAATTCTAGGTTGTCAGTGATCACATAGCTATTGCAGTCCTAAACACAAATTCCTGGAGAAGCTAATAAATTTCTGTTAGAGTAATTAGATTATGAGTCATTTTCTTCCAATTTATTCTATGCTTGTGTTGTTAGATACATGTGCTTAATAGCACATGATTGCAGTTAATGAAATTAAGGAAATGAATTAGGTCATAGTGGTACCATTCTGCTATATTATCCACAGCTGTCACAGTGTCTCATCAGGTCCCTTCAGGAATGTCACTCTTGACTTTAGTAAAATGAAGAGGTGTAATTATATCACCAAAAGTATGTACACTAGAAGAGAAAATAAAAGAAATGGTAAGTGGAGCTCAGAAAGGTGGTAGATGTATTTAGTAGGTGTGTTTCTAAGTATGATGAGGGTACAAAAGAAAAAAACAATAGAATCTGGCAGGTACTTTTTGCTTAATAACAATTTCCAAAGATTTCAAGTCTGGAAAGCTGTGAATTTTACCTGATGGGGAAAAGCATCATTGCAAATGTGACTAAGAATCAAGATGTACATAGCCTTGGGTGCCTTCCTTGCCCATAGCAATGGTGCAAGTTCTGTCAGCAAACCATACATTGTCCATTTCTCTGCAGAAGAGCACAGGTAGAACAAATTAGGTGTTTGAGGAGGAAGGACAGGGCTGCTGAAAGCTGCTAACAGTCTTCAGTGTAGGGCTATAGTCACTCCCCAAACTTATTTGCTGTAGAAAAAATTGATCTCACCTCTTTGACATGTTAGACATGATGTCTAAAAAATTTTAATATGCATTTGTCCTTTATTCTGGAGACTATATATGGAGCAAAGGTGATGCAAGGGTATTTACTAGTATGGCTCATGTTAGCAAAGATAAGCAGCAACCAGATATCACCAACAGAAGGCTGACTATACACATCATGACACATGTGTACAGTGAAACACCAGGTTGACATGAAGCAGTGGAATTTGTACCAATGTAGATAATTTCCACAAGGGGTGTGGTCCAGTGGTAGAGTGGTACCTATCATGCACAAATCCCTGAGTTCATGTGAACAAGTCTGATGTAAAAGGAAAAGTAACAGATGAGATTAAAAAAAAAAAACTGGGTAGAAGTTCTGAACAATCACTTCTAGGTCCTAGAATAGGATTTCTATTTTCTCTTCTCTTCCATGATGTTGGTGGGGATTTTGAAAAATATTCGATTACTCATACTAGAAAAAATGCTTCCTTCTATTTCAACATGGTGAGTCATATATTAACAATCCTACTTTCTGATTATGGACCTAATGTAAATGGCTGAATCAAACCAGTTCTACTATTTAATGGCAAAACTATGAATCAAATTGAAGTATCTTATTCCTGGAACCGAGGCCTATAAAAATATAAAAATTCCCAGAGCATCACTGGTTCTCATGATGAAGGTAGTCCATTAATCTAGCTGAAGTTGGAAGTCAAAATCAAAGAAGGCAGAGGGCAAGTAAGATCACTGAGGATAGCACATTCTCTAATTTAATACTTTGTACCAGATCACAAACAATGGTGCATTCTAACACAGGGGTCAAAACACTATCACAAAGGATTCAGAGAACAAAAATTATTGAGGATGGCATCTTTTTTAAAAGTCTAACTGAATCTCACTCTGTGTTTTCTAGAAACAGGTCATGGTTTATAAATTGAAACTGTGCACTCAAAAAGACAGAAAAATAATTGTGCTTGAGAGAACAGTCATTCCACATAGAAATACAGGACATCTGATGAGAATAATTTTAGGTAAACAAAGAATAGTTATTAGTATAAATGGAATCTGAAGTTCAATTAGAACTGGGTATATTTTCTGTATTTTTCTGGCATCTCTAGTCATTCTATATTGTTTTTCTTGAATGAAATTGTTGATGAATAGACAGCAAAGAAACAAGAAGCTCTGTTTAGCATACCACTGAGTTATTATTTTATGAAATGTTCAATTGACACCATCAAATTCACATTAGCAGATTGTGATTCCTGGAAAACACCTATGTCTATGCTGTCAGCTGTAGCTTTTAATGAATCACCCAGCTCTGTTTCTGAGGATGATTATAGGAAACAGTGAAATTTATGTTCAACTGAAATTCACGGGTGATCAAGGATCTAGGAATGCTGAAAGCTTCATTATGTGCCGTGACTGCCACTGAATGCAGAACATTTCTTCTGGAACTAGGACAGTGAAGCATGTGTGAATGTCAAATGACAACAATTAAATAATGCAGAAATAATTGCATCAGTGGTGCGACTGCTGCCGCAGAAAGAAAAATTGATGGCTCTAAATTTAATTTAAATTTTTAAAAATTCCACATGCCTCTGTAGAACTATTCTGTTTTGTGTATTTCCTGAATTACATACAGCCTTAATTTTACACTTAGAAAGCATAACAGTGATATGAGCTTCTAGCTTTAAAATAGCAAACTGATGTAAAGTTAAAATGCATACAATAAATTTCTGCCATGATAATGAATGTAAATACACTGGGATTCTTAGTCTGGCATTTTGATAATTTTCCAATATCCAAGTGCTTTTTATTGGAAAGGTCTCTAGTTAATGCCTCCAACTATAAAGCAAAAATGGAATACTAGTTCATGAAGGGCCACTGCATGCCCAAACTTTCTTGGGTTACATTCTTTACACTGACATATCTCAGCATTTTATAAGTACTAAAATTGAGGGCTTGCTTAAATATTTAGGGCTACTCTTAAATATTTCAGACTCTCATTTTCCAATGTGGGCCCTACATAAACTGTTCTCTGAAGAATACACATATATAGGGTTGGGAATTTAGCTCAGTGGCACCACACCTGCCTAGCAAATGCAAGGTCCTGATTTCAATCTCTGATATGGGGGGGAGATACACACATACAGGGCACATGAAATGTTCAGCCTACAGCCAATATCAACTATACCCCAAATGAAAGATCTTTTAATGTCTCAGATGATCTGAATTTTACAGTGAGCACTGTAATCTTGAGAATTGGGATTTTAACCATGTAATTTTGAGAGAAAAGGTAGTGGGAGAAGAAATGTAACAACTCTTTCAATTTATTTTCTAATAAATTGTAGTTTCGGCATGCTCAGACAGTGAAGTGTGCTCCTCTATGGACAGTTAAAAACTACCACCAAACCATCCAAGCTATGAAAAGGGAACAGCAACAACAAAAAAGAGATATTTATGCTTATTAGACAATAGATATTTATACTTTTACCTGTTAATAATCTACTTACAGAACATATCTAACACATTTAAAAAATCAGCCTAACTCCCTTCCTCCCCATTCTCTGCGCTCTAAGTGACCCAGAGCAGAAGGGTGGGGTGTGCAGGCATGGACAGACTGGGACGGAGGCCTTGGAGCATCAGGTGACCTTGAAAACTGCTGAGCCACAACAGTCCGTAATTCCAGACCTACGTGAATCTAGTAACTCGTCCCGGGCCCGCAAAAAAGCGCTGTCTGTGAAAAAACGACTTTCCTTCCAAGGTAGTTCCCCCTGACGGCTCCAGACTTAGGATTTTGAGGGAAGAAGGCAAAATGGAGAAAGAGCATTCGGAAAGGAGGTGCAGGTACTTAGGAGTGAAGATTCGACCTGTTAGCCACCTACTTTGTAAAGAAAAGAAAGTGACTAAGTTGACCCCAACTCTGAATATTCCTTAGAAGAAAAAAACTAATTAAAAACTCTCCAATCTAAAACTCTCAGCAACTCATCTGCCAGAGAGTAAAAGAGACAAAATTCACACAGTCCGTGTTCAGGGACTCAGCAGGTGTGACTGGGGTGCGCCCCGAGGAAAGCCGGAACTAGGGAACCCAAAGTACCTGGTTTTGCCTCCAAACCGCAAGACCGCAAACGTGGGACTCTAGCTTCCGAGGGCCGGAGGTCCCGGAGTCCCAGCGGCTCGGGTGAGGTCGCTGTCGGGAGCCCCTGCGCCCTCC